TTTATGTTCTTGTTTGTGTTGATTTTTAAAATAATATTTATAGTATTTCTGTAGTTGCAATTGTGATACTTGTTGATCTTACACAAACAATAATTTTCTTTATTATTATTATCATTGTTATAACATTTATGAGAGACAGCATTGAATAGACATGCTGAAGGAATATCAACTATACTGATAACAAGTGAAACTAATACTAGTCTTAACACAAGTCCTTGTTCAAGAATCTGTGAGCTAAGAGTGTCCATCTTCCCTGCTATTCCTGTTCTTCCAGGCTGTTGTCAAGTTCATAGTTATTATTGCATATCATAAGTCATAACATTAATTAATTGTTTGTTTTTTTAATAAAATAAAATAACACACTTGATAAAACAGTAGCATGTAAAATCAATACCTTCTTTTAGCTGGAAACCTCCACTAAAGTATTGCAATAAGTTGATTCCAAGCATAGCTTGGTAAAAAATAAATTGCTTATTCCAGAGCTGCAGATCTGCATCTGAGCATGCGCGACCACACCCAAATTTTGGAGCACATGGCAAGCTTCTTTAATTAACAAAATGGCGGCATGTAGCTAAGATGGCTCGATCCAGCAGTCACAGTATCACTTTTTCCTTACTTGAAGAATGATCTGATGGGACATGGACCTGCGCATAGACTGTTGGAGTAGATTGGTGTAAGAATTATTCTTGTAGCACCAACTGATACTGAGATACACACCGACAACTGGATTGACAGGACTTGATTATGAAGATGAAGATGATGATGAAGATGAAAAAAGGTGGCTGAACAAAACGGCCGGTTCGCCGATTTTTGACTTTTAGCTTAGACAAGGTCTAGAGCCACACTAGTTGTACCATTGGAGTCCTCTGGTCAAGATAAGGTCCTCTATAAAGTCTGGTAAGCATAGGAGCTCTTTTTCCCGGTATAGCAAGGCTGCAAAAGTCGTGGCAGCCATTTTGTTTGGGGGTGAATCCTACTTAGTAACGCTACCACGTTACTAATAGTACAGGGTATTTGGATCATGTGAAATATCCGACTCCAAGAGATATCCGACTCCTAGAAGCATCTGACCATAGATATTATAGACTACGTAACCAGGATTGGAAACTAGGTCACGTGATCCATTCAAACCAGTACAAACCGGCTGACACAGGGTCCGTGATTGGATTTTGGTGGGTGTGGTCAAAAAATGGCTACTCATCGACGGCATTCAAAGGAAGACTGTATTTAAACCAATGTTGATTTTTTGTTATTTTAATAATATTTCAATACTTTAGTGTTTGTGTAACATGACTATAATGAAAAAATAATGATACCATTGTTATTTTGGAAATATACTGTGATATTGTTCAAATTTCTGTTACTTGCAAATTTTCAAAACTTTTTGTACCTGTTGCTCCATTACACGGGTAAAAATAGACTAACAAGATGATTGGAAATGTTGCCACAATCATTGTGCATGGAACTGTCATAGTTTCATTTACTGATCTGCTATGTCAGAGAAGTAATATCTAAAATACTGTTTCTGCGAACAGTCCACTGTCGTACCTGTTACAGCTTTTACAAAACAAGCAGAGGTTTCTCCTTTTGGGTGATGATAGGTTGATATTGTGTGCATGGAATTGGGGGGCTAGCATTTTAATTCATGCATTGTATTTGACTACAGTACTGCTTTAAAACCAAAAATTCATTAATTCCGCATAAAAAGCAAG